CCCCCAGGAAATGGTATGCAAGACGTGTGTAAGGCAACTCATTTGAGGAAAGCTTCAACAGATTCTCAGAAGGGTTGGGAGATGCAGTTACATTAAAATCAAAATCTTCAAACTGACTAGGCTGTTCTTTGACATGCTCTATATTGTGATGATTTTTAAGTTTATACCATTTCTTTTTTTTAATATTTTTTTAACATTTATTTATTTTTGGGACAGAGAGAGACAGAGTATGAACGGGGGAGGGGCAGAGAGAGAGGGAGACACAGAATCGGAAGCAGGCTCCAGACTCTGAGCCATCAGCCCAGAGCCTGACGCGGGGCTCGAACTCACGGACCGCGAGATCGTGACCTGAGCTGAAGTCAGACGCTCAACCAACTGAGCCACCCAGGCGCCCCAAGTTTATACCATTTCTTAAGAACACACACACACACACACACACACACACACACACACACAGAAAGTCTAAAATTGTTTAATCAATTTATAAACAAGAAAAGTACCAGTAAAACATTTTATGGGGGGGGGGGGGATGTTATAAGCCTTTGAACATGTAACAATGTATAGTGTGTCAGTTTTGTGAAAACAAAACATCAAATTTATTTTATTATTATTTCAATGTTTATTTTTGAGAGACAGAATGCAAGCAAGGGAGGGGCAGAGAGAAAGGGAGACGCAGAATCCGAAACAGGCTCAGGCTCTGAGCTGTCAGCACAGAGCCCAATGTGGGACTCGAACCCACAAACGGCAAGATCATGACCTAAGCAGAAGTCAGAAGCTTAACCAACTGAGCCACACAGGTGCCCCCAAGACATCAAATTTAAAATGTATGCACACGGAAAGAATACTCTTCCCTTGGCCTCACTTTGCCGGTCATCAAAGCCAGTGATTCTCTGTGATCCCCTCCACTTCCCTCCACCTCTGCCATCACAGCCACCCTGCCCCAATCCCCTCCAGCTCTTGCCTGGAGAATCACAGGAGGCTTCTCCCAGTTTTCCCCAGTAGACCACGAACTCACGAAGCCAAAGGTCCTGTCTGATTTTATCATTGTAGAGTATGTGCTCCATAAGCATAAACAAATGGACACATGGCCTCCCAGGAGCAAAGGTTAATTTCCAAGTTCTTATGGTGCCTGCACTGTCAGTCTCCCATACTTGTATAGAAAGGGGCAGGGTAACAGCGGACTGAGGGTGAAGGAGCCACTCCCCACTTGCCTTGGCTTCAGAGGAGGAACAGGGCTGCTGCTGACTGCAGACCGACCTGAGGAAGCAGGGGCCACCAGATCTGTGTTCTGGGATGCTTGGCTGTACATAGCCTGGGGCACAAGGTGAAGCCCGCTCAGCCAGGGGGCTGTGGCCTCGCCCGAAGTTGGGTCCAGTAGAATTTGGAGAAGGTTCAGATTGAAAGAAACTGAACGTTGCTCTTGCCCCTGTATTGGTTTTTATTGCTGTTGAAACCAATTACCACAAACTCAGTGGCTTAAAACATAACAACTTATTATCTTACAGTCCTGGAGGTCAGATATCCAAAACAGGTCTCAGTGGGCTAAAATCAAGCTGGGTCCGCAGGACTGCATTCCGTTCTGGAGGCTCTAAGACAGAGAACCTGTTTCCTTGCCTTTTCCAGCTCCTAGAGGCTGCCCACATCCATCTGATGACCTCCTTCCATCTTCAAAGCTAGCAATGGCTCATCCACCTTATAAGTGCTCCATCACTCTGACGCTGGCTCCTGCCCCCCTCTGACCCTGATGAGGACCTTTGTGATTACAGGCACCCACTAGATAATCCCAGATAAACTCTCCTTCCCCCAACTCTTAATTTAACCACATCTGCAAAGTACCTTTTGCCATGTAAGGTAACACACTGAGAGGTTCTGAGAATTAGCACGGGAGTATTTGGGGGCAGTATTCTACCGGCCACACCTACTTAATTCTGCCCTCCCTGGAGGCTCTGGATTTACATATGGGAACCTTTACAAACTGCCTGTTTATTAGCATCAGGGACACAATGCTGAGAGCCTTGCTCTCTAAAATCATAGATTATAGAAATTTTGCTAGTTGAAAGCCTGTCAGTGAGAACAGAAGGTCCCACCTAGTCACCTTGACACAGAGACAACGGCCTCTATTTCCAGCCCGGGCGTAGAATTTCAGTGAAGGAGATTTCCAACAGAACGTTCCACATTAAAAAAAAAAAAAAAAAAAAGAACGCTCCACATTTATATTAATATACTTTCCAAGGAAACGGGACCTCAAGTCCTTTCTCAGCTCCGGCCTGATCATCAATCCTTTTCATACAGCCGGACTTCGCCTTGAGCCTACAAAAGAACGGCTTCGTTTACATTTTATCTACACTGGCCTCAGCCTGTCTCTCCCACCTGGGTTTAGGAATCGGGACCCCCCAAAACGCCTTTCTCCGGGCATCTCTTCCCTTGTGTGAAGGGCGCACGGTGGACGATGCGTCGTAAACGGCAAGATTTAAGTGGTTTGGGGGTGGATGGTACAGTCAAGGAGGAGGCGCGGAAGGGAGGGGAGCCCTAGAATGAGAGGGGATTGCAGCCCTAAAGCACAACCTCAACTGGGTTCTCACTACCGCCGTATAAGCGCGTTATTAGTCCCCAGTTAACAGAAAAAGATTCCAAGCAACCGGCCTTATGTCATCAAGTCAGGAACTGGCGAGCAGGGATCCCAATCCAGTTCTTCGGACTCCGAAGCCTGTACTTGGGATCGATAAACAAACGTCCCGGGGAAGGGCGCCACCACCTACCGAAACGCCTTCCACCCACTCACCGAGAGCGCCGCGCGGCCTGCCGGCGGGGAGACAGGCCCGAGTCTGGGAGGCAAAGAGACCACGCCCATATTGAAACCCAGACTTGTATGTGGACCAATCCCAAGAAAGAAAATCATTGGCAGGGCGGGGTTATGTAAAACACGCGGAGGGAGTACAGGCAGGCAATGCAGCAAAGACCATTATTTAAGATCTTTTTTAAAAAAATATAGCTATTATTATAAAGGAAGGATAATGAGACGTTGAATTTAAGAAGTATTACATATTTCAAGTAATCTAATCATTATGTCATAAAAATCGCCACAACCTTAAAAGCTATAGTAAGGGTAAGGGTTGCCAGGAGCCGGTTGCAACGGTATCGCTTCTCGGCCTTTTGGCTAAGATCAAGTGTAGTATCTGTTCTTATCAGTTTAATATCTGATACGTCCTCTATCCGAGGACAATATATTAAATGGATTTTTGGAATTAGGAGATGGAATAGGAGCTTGCTCCGTCCACTCCACGCATCGACCTGGTATTGCAGTACTTCCAGGAACGGTGCACCCCCTTTTGGGGGAACAATAATGGTTTCAAAAAAAAGAACATTGGTTTTTCGAACCGTCTCAACTCGTTTTAGGGAGAGTGGTGGTTTTTCTTATGCCTGCTAGGCTAATGGGGCTGATTAGTAGTTTTGTTGGTGGGTGGCTTTAACCCAAGTTATGACTTCCCTGGTTTGTGAGCTCGCTCCCGCCGCGTGCCCCCCTCCCTCTCTGCTCTCCCAATGGGCTCCGCGCTGGTAACTCAGAAATTGGAGTCTCTATCGGGTTCGGTGTACCCGCGGGTACGCAGGGGGTGCTCTGTCTTTGTCAGATAGAAGTGTACTAACATTAATAAGAATAATACATTGCTCAGCCGGGAGCGTTCTGATACAAGCTAGTAATTTGACAATGACCCCCGTTGTTTCTTACTCTGTGTGCAGAAATTGTTTTCCTGGTAGGTTTATCGTGTGCTTCTCCCCAAGGCAGTTTCTATTTGGTAAAATAACTTTCTCGGTCTGGGAGCTGGAGTAGCAACTTTTTTTCTCTTGCACTTTTAGAAAATGCTTTCTTTAAAGGATTCAAAAACAATTTGCAGGTTTGTTTTATCCTGGATTATAAAGGGGAACTCCCGGGGGATCGGCCCGGCCTAGCCTAAACCCCAGGTGTACCCCCGAGTTTACAATGAGAGGAAACCGCCCACCAACAAAGAGGACGTCTCGCAAAATAAAGGAGTAATTTAAAGAAAGACTTTTAAGGTTAAGGTGGAGTTTAGATTTGATTTAATGTAATAGGCTCAATACAAACTAGGACTGTGGAGGGAGACAGAGGGGTCAATGTCCAGTGTACCCTGTGAAGTAGACATCGTGCTTGTTACCTTGGTAACAACGTTTGCATAAGTGTGGAATGTTGTGCTCAGAACCCTCATTCACAGCTCTGCAGCTGAGCTGGAAATCGTGGCTGCTTCTCTGTGAGGCCTTGTGCAGGCGAGAGTGCGATGCTTTATTTCTTACTGATAAAATTTTAAACGGGCAAATTTCTGGTACTCTAATCTCAGAGAACAAAATCTCTGTAATAAAATTGTAGTCATTCACAGGAAGGGTGGTTACATTTATGCAGCAGCAGCTTGTACCTGGGAGAAATACTGTTAATTTTGCAGTTTTATTCTCAGTTGGAGCTGATGTTTTTTATCATCACCAAACCTCAATGCGAGGAAATAAAAACGACGCAGCTACCTCCACTTTCTAGGTTTCTATTTTAAGATCATCGGTTTCATTTTCCCCATCTTTCGTCGGTTTGTGGCTTTTACGCTCGAGGTTGAAGCCATGCGCCTCAGTGATTTTTTTTTTTTTTCTCAAGTGTGCTCGTCTTTCTTGTTTTGTACAGAAAACATATTACACGATGCTTTGGAGCAGGGAGGCGCCTTCCACTCCAAGTACACAACTGTCAAGTTACTCTCCAGATCTCCACCAGCACCCCCAGAGTTCGTAAAGCAAAACCAGCTGCAGAAGGCAGGGGACCAGGGGATCTTTACTCTTCTCTTTTTTATTATTTTAAGTGTGTATTTATTTAAGTGATCGCTACACCCATCGTGGGGCTTTAGAACTTACGATACGGAGATCAAAAGTCACGAACTCCTTCCACCCAGCCACCCAAGCGCCCTTCTTCCGGCTTTTTAAACGGCAAGAGAGGGCGTTCATCCGGATCAAACGCGGCGCGCTGGTGACGCAACGCTGCGCCGGAAGTGCGAGCCGTGGGCTGCTGGGTTCCGTTATGGCGGCTGCTGGGGCACGCTGGAACCATGTGTGGGTGGGCACCGAGACCGGGATCCTGAAAGGTGGGTGGCCGGGCCCAGCATCGGGAAGTGTGTGTGGGGGGGTGTCCCTCGCTCGCGACCCCGGCGCGACTGACGCCCGCCTCCCGCAGGGGTGAACCTTCAGCGCAAACAGGCGGCGAACTTCACGGCGGCAGGACAGCCGCGGCGCGAGGAGGCGGTGAGCGCCCTGTGCTGGGGCGCGGGCGGCGAGACTCAGGTGAGCGGCCGCTGGTCGGTCCCGAGCTGGGGGGATCTACGGTGCGGCAGCCTCGCTCTGGTCGCCATCCTGCCCTCCTCTGCCCGCAGATCCTGATGGGTTGCGCCGACAAAACAGTGAGGTACTTCAGCACCGAGGAGGGCAGATTCCAGGGCCACAAGCACTGCCCCGGCGGGGAGGGCACGTTCCGAGGCCTCGCCCAGGTCGACGGGTAAGACCGAGCCCCTCGCTGAACGCTCAGGTCGTAGGGACAGCGTGGAGGCTCTCGCGGGACTGCCGAATATTGGGCAATCAACCCTTAGGGACCCCAGCCTGGGCTGAGTGACAGGCCAGGTGCTATTGAACACCTGCTTATTAATAGGCATTGGACGAAATGCAAAGGCTGCAGGCAAACCAGACACGTGCAGTACCTGCCTTCATGAGTTTGCATCAAGGGTATTTTTCCTGGCTCCATAGCTTTTTGGATGACCCTGAGCAGGTCACTGAAGAGTTTAGAGTATGTTTGAAAATGGAGACTAACAACCACCAACGATACGGTGAAGTTCCCAAAGGAAAGGATAGGAAAGTGTTAGTGGTTAAGTAACTGGGGGTAGCTTTCTTCCAAAGAGGGAGAAGGCTGTGAAAAGGCTGTGTGGGTTTGGTGGTGTTCTGAAAACTGACTCGTCGAAGTGCCTGTGTAGGTGAGTCACTTGAACTGAGCCATGAAGGATGGGTAGAATTTTGACAGGAGGAGAAAGGAGTAAGCGCATTTCAGAAAGAGACTGCTGTCTGGGCTGAGGCCAAGGATTGGTGTCAGGCTACATGGTAATTTCAGGCAAGGTAAACAGCCATTTGGGGATGGAAACCGAGGGCGCGTTTTAGTACAAGATAGGCGAGGTAGGTAGTGATTAAATGTGAAGGCCTTTCAGCGTCAGACTGAGAGATTTGCCCTTATGATTTTGCAGGTGGTTTTGAGCGAGGAGGGGTGTGGAGAACGGGTTGGAAAGAGTGGTTGAGAACCTCTTGCCAAAGCCCAGGCAAGCACCGCCACGGCCTGAACCGAGGCGGGGAGGGTGGGCAGATGTGAAAAAGAACATAGGCTCGGGCTTTACACAGATCCTGGGGGAGGCTTGCTTGGGGAGGGGGTGTGTGTTTTAGGGAGAGATTGACATTTAGTGTCTGGAATGCCAAACAGGGAACTTGAGAGAAGAAGCTAGCGTTTGACTTTGGCCAGACCCGAACGTGAGACCAGTCCCACTTCAGTTCTTTCAGAGCTACTGATCCTGACCCCTGGTGACCCACCCAAGGTTCAGAAAAACCGGCAGGGCCGGCTGCCCCCAGATAATAGCAAAGGCACTCTGCTTTGGAGTATCACACGCTTGACTTTCCAGCTCTGGTTCTGACATTTAGAGCTGTGTGGGCAAATCTTTTTACACTTCTCAGAGCTTGAGTTTCCTCACTTACAAAACTGGGAAACCATCCCTCGTTGAGGATATTAAATAACAAACATGGGAGGAGGGAGTCTAGTTAATGTGAATCTGGGGGTGGGTTGACTAGGGCCCAGAGAACACTTGAAATTCATACTTACTTACTTTTTGTTGTTGTCGTTTACTCTAACCTCCCTCTGCCCACAGCACCCTCATCACATGTGTGGATTCTGGGATTGTCCGGGTCTGGCGTAACAATGACAAGGAAGCATCCTCTGACCCAGTAAGGCTCCCCTGCCCTGCCAGTGATGGGGAAGATGAGGGCCCGGGTAGGAGCCGAGGGAGGGCTTTGGGGGAAGAGGGTTTTTTGTTTGTTTGTTTCTCTGTTTTGTTTTGTTGTTGTTGTTGTTGTTTTTAAATTTACATCCAAATTAGTTAGCATATAGTGCGACAATGATTTCAGGAGTAGATTCCTTCGTGCCCCTGACCCAGTTAGCCCATCCCCGCCTCCCACAACCCCTCCAGTAAACCCTCAGTTTGTTCTCCATATTTATGAGTCTCTTCTGTTTTGTCCCCCTCCCTGCTTTTATATTATTTTTGTTTCCCTTCCCTGATGTTCATCTGTTTTGTCTCTTAAAGTCCTCATAGGAGTGAAGTCATATGATATTTCTCTTTGACTAATTTCACTTAGCATAATACCCTCCAGTTCCATCCACGTCGTTGCCAACGGCAAGATTCCATTCTTTTTGATTGCTGAGTAATACTCCATTGTATCTATCTATCTATACCACATCTTCTTTACCCGTTCATCCATCGATGGACATTTGGGCTCTTTCCATACCTTGGCTATTGTTGATAGTGCTGCTATAAACATGGGGGTGCATGTGCCCCTTCAAAACAGCCCACCTGTATCCCTTGGATAAATACCTAGTCGTGCAATTGCTGGGTCGTAGGGTAGTTCTATTTTTAGTTTTTTGAGGAACCTTCGTACTGTTTTCCAGAGTGGCTGCACCAGCTTGCATTCCCATGGGGGAATAGGATTAAGGACTCCGGAACTGACTCTCATCTCCTGTCTCTTTCAGCTCCTGGAGCTGAGTGTGGGCCCTGGGGTGTGCAGGATGCGCCAAGACCCAGCACGCCCGCACGTGGTTGCCACGGGTGGGAAAGAGAATGCTTTGAAGGTGTGGGACCTACAGGGGTCGGAGGAGCCTGTGTTCAGGGCCAAGAATGTGAGTGACAGTGGTGGGAGGGGCTGGGGCTGAGGTTCAAGGAGGCTGAGGCCACTGAGTTGGGGGATGATGATGAAGAGCTGAAGGACAGGGCCTATGAGCCCTCCTGCAACCTGTCCCCCCCTCTATCCACCCCACCAGGTACGGAACGACTGGCTCGACCTGCGGGTTCCCATCTGGGATCAAGATATACAGTTCCTTCCTGAATCTCAGAAGCTTGTCACCTGCACAGGGTACCATCAGGTGAGGTACTGCCCCACCTCTACCTCCTCCGGGGCTTAAGCAGCCTCCTAGAGAAACAACGAAACAACCTGCCTGGTGGCACAGGCCGACCTTCATCCTCTGTCTCTGAGCTCCCAGAGGGAGCATTCCCCACCCCGCTCTCCGGCCCCCGACCATCCCAGCCCCATGGCTGAGCCAGAGACCTTCTGGTACATTGTAGGATGAGTTTTCTGAACTGTGACCCTTCCTTCGCTTCCAATGTGGAGAGGAGGAGAGAAGAAGGGAGAATTCTGCTTCTTTCACAGTAGAATCCCACGGTCCAGGTGTCATGAGAGGACACTGGGTTGGGTGTCAGGGGAACTGGGTTCTGGTCTTGATGCAGCCTCTGATTTGCTTTGGGACCCAGGCCTGACCCACTCCTCTGCATCCTCGGCTCCTTGGCTTTTTGTTTGTTTGTTTGTTTAATGTTTTCATTTATTTTTGAGACAGAGAGAGACAGAGCATGAGCAGGGGAGGGGCAGAGAGAGAGGGAGACACAGAATCTGAAGCAGGCTCCAGGCTCCGAGCTGTTAGCACAGAGCCCGAAGCAGGGCTCGAACTCAAGGACCGCGAGATCATGACCTGAGCCAAAGTCTGACGCTCAACCGATTGAGCCTTCCAGGCGCCCCCTCAGCTCAGCTTTATAGGAGGGAGGGCGGGCGGGCCCGACTGGAGATCTTTACAGCTGGCCTCATTTGAAGTCCTAAGATCCCAGCAGGACTGGGTCCCTGTGTTTGTCCCATTTCCTTTGCTCCTGCATACTGAAATCTGATCTTGGGGATATGTCGCTGTTCAAAACACACTGCGAGGGCTTACTCTCCCCTCTGTTGCTCAGGCTAAATTTCTCTGCCTGAAATTCAGTACTCTCTGAAAATTGGACTGGCTTGCCTTTTCATGCCAAGATGGGAGTATGGAGGGGTGGAATGCCCACACATGTGGACCCTGGAAATGCTGTCACGCCCCCCCCCCCCAACCTGGGGGACCTCTCTCCCTAAGCAGATCTCCTCTGCCCACTCTTCCCTGACACTCAGAGCAAGGGGGGGGGGGGGGTATGTTTCAGATGAGAAAGTTTCTCTAAGAGTGGGTCATAAGAAAGCAGTGTATGAAGGAGGGAGTGAAGATACGGACAATCCAGGGACGGGTATGTGGTGTGAGGGTGCTCTCGTGATGCTTCGGTGTTCTCCAGGTCCGTGTCTACGATCCAGCCTCTCCCCAGCGTCGGCCAGTCCTAGAGGCCACCTATGGAGAGTATCCACTTACGGCCATGACCCTCACTCCCGGGGGCAAGTAAGTGTTGAGAGGACACAGAGTGGGGCTCGGAGAGGACTCTAGGAGGCTCCTGCTGACCCCACCCACCTCTGGTCTCCTCCTTAGTTCAGTGATCGTGGGCAACACTCATGGGCAGCTGGCAGAAATTGACCTTCGGCAAGGTGAGTGGACTAGGGAGCCTTGCAGGAGGGGAAGAGGTGGGAGGAAGGGCAAGATTCCCTCTGAGGGGGTACAGTGGCATGGTGGAGCCCTCATTCAGGTGCCAATTGCCTGGGTTCAAATCCTGGTTCACCAGAAGCTGTAGGGTCTTGGACAAATTACTTCAGTTCTCTGTGACATTAGCTCCTCCACCTGTAAAATGGAGATATTAATGACAACTCCTGTCCCCACCTTATGTTGAGGTATAAATATTGAAACATAAAGCGACTTGAAATGGTAAACAATGGTTGTTGGCTGGCCAGCTAGTGCTGATGCCTCCCCCTCTCCTCCAGGACACCTACTGGGCTGTCTGAAGGGGCTGGCAGGCAGTGTCCGAGGATTACAGTGCCACCCTTCAAAGCCCCTACTAGCCTCCTGTGGCTTGGACAGAGTCTTGAGGGTGCACAGGATCCGGAATCCACGGGGTCTAGAGCATAAGGTGAGAGCTGGCTGCCTTGTGTGCCCCAAGCCACGTTTCCGTTTCAGTGTCCCTAGCTCCTTATGGCCCCTCTTGGTTTTGTAGGTTTATCTCAAGTCTCAACTGAACTGCCTCCTCCTGTCAGGCAGGGATGACTGGGAGGTAAGCAGCTGGGTCTTGGAATGTGGGAGCAAGGGCACAGATGTGAGCACTTCCCCATGGAGAGAAAAAAGAAACAGCTGGAACACAGCCAGAACTGTCTGCCTGTCAGCCAAGTTACTTAGGTTCTCTGAGGGGGGTTAATAGTTATAATCCTGGCAGGGCTACTGCAAAGGGCCACATAGGAGCATGGATGGGAATAGTGTCCGGGAGCAGGAATTGAAAGTGCTTTCCCAACTAGATCCTCCTTCCCCGGGCCTCTGTTACTGTGCCCCGGATCCCTAAGTTTTCTCCCACTCACCAGGATCAGCCCCAAGAGCCTCAAGAGCCCAAAAAGGCGGCCCTAGAAGACACAGAGACAGATGAACTTTGGGCCTCCTTGGAGGCAGCCGCCAAGCGGAAGCTCCCTGATTTGGAGCAGACCCAAGGGGCTCTCCAAACCAGACGGAGAAAAAAGCAGCGGCCTGGATCCACCAGCACCTGAAGAGCCTGTGCTCACTTTGTAAATAAACAGTTTAACACCCACCATGACCCTGAGCCTTTTGTGATGGGAGAATGGAAAGAGGACTGGCTGCTCCCAGCGCTGGTGCAGCAGGATAGCTGATGTCACAAAAGCCAGGCGCGGGGCCTGGTGGGCTGGCGTGGGCGGCACGGAGTTCGGGGCCGCTCGGGACCATGGGCTGCTGCCAAGACAAGGACTTTCAGGCCTCCGATGATCAGGCTAAGGAGGCTGATTCGGAGGAAGTCGAAGGTGAGACCCAAGACACACCAGCGGGGCCCAGGAAGCGGGAGAAGGGGCTGCGCCGAAGGGGATCGCCCGGGAGGTTGGACCGGGGAGGGTAGAGCAGAGCTCAGTGGCCTCGTCATCCCCGCAGGCACCGAAGAGGTCGATATGGACTCGCCGGACCAAAAGACTCTCAAGTCGAACGAAAGCCTTCTGATCACCGTGCTGTGGCGGCGGCTATCCCTGTGCAGCCGTCGGGGCTCTCGTGCAAACAAGAGGCACTCAGTCCAGAGTCAAAAGCATGCGTTACAGCAGAGCAAGCGGGAGGGGATCCTGGAGGAGCCGGAGAAGGGGTGACCCCAACCTGCTCTCAATCTGCCCCAGCCTCCGGAGAATAAAGTTTCTAACATGTACCTTTCCTATCTTGCTTGTCTCCGCTGCCCGCTCTGGGCGCACTGGACACCGCCGGGGCTCTTTAAGGCCCCTCCCCCGAGGCTGGCCCAGCCCCCTGGGCCCCAGCTCTGGTTCCTCAGGGGCGGGGTCACAGGCGGCCTAGCCAATGGGAGGACGGAGTTGCTCTTGCGTTTTGGTGGGGGGGCGTGTCTCTCTGGTTGCTGTGCTCCAAAAGGTGTGGCACCGCCTTCTCGTCACCGGGGGTGGAGTTACGTGTGGGTGACGTGGCGGCTTCTAGGCTTTGGTCGGGTTTCGGCGGCTTTAGCGCTTGGGGAGGAGGCGGTGACCACCCGGGAGACTGTGGCAGTGGTGGCGGCGGCAGGCGGCAGAGAGGAGGTAGGACTCGCTCTAGAAGGGGTCTGGCCACCGTGTCCGCTCTGGGCAGCGGCTTTCCGGGGGCGGCGGACGGGATGGGGGGAAGGGAACCTGGGGCGAGCGGGCAAGTCCTGCCGGCCCGGCTCGGGCTGAGGGAATACTTCGTCGTCCAATCAGGAAAGCCCCTGTTGAGAAAGACGTCGGCATTAGCTAATCGGTGGTCGCAGTCCCCCCAGAAGGCGGGATTTGGGCGGGGGTGGGACTTCCTGTTTCAAATAAACACCTAGAGATTTTTCCCCCTTCCGCCCACCGAAGTGTGTCCTCCTCAGGAGGTCCGTCACCGTTTCTCCCTGAGGAGTCGAAGGGATCCGCGGATACGAGAGGACCCCGTTAGGGCCTGGGGCAGTTGCACAGGCCGGGCTGGAGCCTCGGGGCCACGGGACCTGCCTCTGGCCCTGTCTCTGTTTCAAGGCCCCCGGCCCGCGCTCTGGCCGCCGGAGCCAAGTTGGAAGAAGAGTCTGAGGAGGGGGAACCGATTGGGTCGGAGAGCGGGCCCCTGCCCGCCGTGGGCCGGCCCCAGGATCTGCGGGTAGCTTTGGGCGCGAAAGTCCGTGCCAGGTGCAGAAGGGACCCGAGGATTTGCTGGCTGGGGCGGGGGGAGGGTGGGGGAAGGATTTATGGGGAAGGAGGCTGCCTAGGGAATGACACTCTCCCCTCCACAACAGTCCGAGGTTATGCGTCTCAATGATCCCGCGGAAACGCTACGGGTCTAAGAACACGGATCAGGGTGTCTACCTGGGTCTCTCAAAGACACAGGTCCTGTCCCCTGCAACTGCTGGCAGTAGCAGCAGCGACATCGCCCCTCTGCCCCCCCCCAGCGGCCCTGGTCCCTCCCCCTCCCAACACCATGTCTTGCCGAGATCGGACCCAGGAGTTCCTGTCTGCCTGCAAGTCCCTGCAGAGCCGTCAGGTAAGGACCAGGAGTGGGAAAGGCAGGAGCGAGCCTTACTGAAATCTGGGAGAGGCTGTGCTCCAGCACTGTTGAGGGACTGAATTTTGGGGGTGACGCGATGGAGAGCTGATCGAGCTTGTCTACTAAGCAACAGGGAATGGGGTGGGCCAGCTCTCTAGAGGCAAGGACCTAGACTTTTTTTGTGTGAGAAATCCCCCAGAGGGTAGGGTTGTTACTTTGCAAGGAATATCTCAGGGTGAGAGGTGGCCGCAGTATTTTTGGTTTGGGTAAGGAACACGTTCTAGAAAGAGCCTTTAGCTCAGAGACAGGCCCTTTGAATACTGGTTCTGGAATAGTCCTTACCATACGTTTGCTCTGTGACCACAGAATGTTGGGCCAGAAAGTCTAGTGGGACCTCAGTTTTTATATCTGTAAAATGAAAGAAGTTTTCCTGATAAGTAATTTTTGTCAAAATTCCTTTGCAGTGCTTTTTAAAAAATTAGATTCCCTGGTTTCAGTCCAGACTTTCTGAATCAAAGTGGGCCCTGAGTGACTGTAATTTTAAAGCTTTTTACTGCTCTTCTGTCTGATCACCAAGAGCTTTCCAGTTATCCTCTTTGATTTCCTGACTGGAGAAACAGAATATTAACAGTGCCTGTCGTTTATTTAATGCTTATAACGTACCAGGTATATGACTAAAGTACTTTATAGCCCTGATGCTCTTTGATTCCAGCAACTGCATTTTCTACAAGAGGAAATAGATATTCAGAATGGTGCATGTCACTTGCCCCAACCCCTCTAGCTAGTAAGTGGTGGAGTCGAGATTTGAACCTGGGTCCACCTGTGCTCAAATCTGAGCTCTGCGTGACAACTACTGACAAGATTAGACTGTCCGGTACAAGAGCTAGAGAGAATTTAGTGGGCACCTGAGGAATAGCGAAAGCTGGAAATGGGGAGGGGGAACTAAAGCTTCAGCTCTTGATGTTGCTTTTCAGAATGGAATCCAGACAAACAAGCCGGCTCTGCGTGCTGTCCGGCAGCGTAGTGAATTTACCCTCATGGCCAAGTAAGTTGAGAGAAGTTACGTGGTGGGGTGGTGCGGTGTCTGGGAAGGAGTTGGCTTGCCTTTGGTGGCCTTGGCTGTGAGGGAGCTAATGTGGGAATAGGAATAGGTCCTGTCCTGCTCTTTCTCCTAGTGCCCTCACTAATGCTTGCTTCCAGGCGCATCGGGAAAGACCTCAGCAACACATTTGCCAAGCTGGAGAAGCTGACGATCTGTGAGTTCTTGGGGTCTTTCAGAGATGGGGCAGTGAACCAAAGAGCTCTAAGGAACCGGACTCCCTGAGCCTTGTCTTTGATCTCACACGTCCTGGCCTCATTTGTCTCTACAGTGGCAAAGCGCAAGTCCCTCTTCGATGATAAAGCAGTGGAAATCGAAGAGCTAACTTACATCATCAAACAGGTGAGCTGCTAGCTGTTGGGAGCTGGCATTCCAGTCAGATCGCTTTCATCAATTTCCCCTTGTCTTGGAGCTCCAGAGCAAGTTTCTGGAGCCAGCCCCAAAGACCTTGCTCATCCATTGAGTCAGTGGACACTCTTTGGTCATGTGCTGTGTACAAAGCCCTGCTGGGCCCTTGCCTCACAAACCTGAGGCAAGAATTCCACCCTGAGGGCTTATTGTCTGTAAGGGGTATCTAGTCCCGTACATTCGTACTTAGAATGAGTAGAAGGCAAGTGGCACAAAACAGAGCTTCAAAAAGATGAATGAGACAGTCTGAGGACGCTGGGAAAAAATGTTACAGAGGTGGGTGAAATCTGAACTGGTGTCATGGCTTGTGTAGAGGCAGTGGAAGAACATTCCAGACAAAGGAAACAGGGTGCAGAGGCATGGCTTATAAAAGAAAGTTCACGTCTTTGCTCAGATGTTGTTTGCCCAGGGAGGCCTACCCTGAGCGTGTTGTTTAGTGCTCCAGTGCCCCAAACTGTGCTTTTTATAGCACTTGATACTTTCTAATATTCTGTATCATTAACTCACTTACGTTTATTTTATTTATTTATTAAAAAAAATTTTTTTTTCAACGTTTATTTATTTTTGAGACAGAGAGAGACAGAGCATGAACAGGGGAGGGGCAGAGGCAGAGGGAGACACAGAATCTGAAACAGGCTGCAGGCTCTGAGCGGTCAGCACAGAGCCCGACGTGGGGCTCGAACTCCCGGGCCGTGAGATCGTGACCTGAGCCGAAATCCCAAAGTCGGACGCTTAACCGACCAAGCCACCCAGGCGCCCCTCACTTACCTTTATTGTTTCCGTTCCCTGTCATCTACCTCATCCCAGCCCCCAACCAAAAAAAAAAAAAAAAAAAAGAAAAAAAGAGAAAAATATAAGTGCCACAAGAGCGGAGAGTTTTTTCTTGCTATTTTTTCATCTTGCTCATAGATGTATCCCAGTTGCCTATAATAGCGTCTGGTGTAGAAAAGGTGCTCCGTATTTGTTGACTGAATGACCGCCGGGGGGAAATACCAGCCTGGAGCATGGATGGGCAGAGAGGCCAGGGAGGAGGCTGCTGCCGCTGTCCAGTGAAAAGATGATGGTGGCAAAGGCCAAGGCAGATGTGTTCAAGAGGTGCCATGCAGGGTAGGAGAGAGAGGATACCATGAACTATTGGGGCGCTATTGCATAAGCTTTGAAGAACCACAGCCTGTTCTCAGACAGTCCATTGGTTATGGTGTACCCTTGGGTAAGCTGCCTGACTACTCTGAGCTTCAGTGCCCTCGGAAATAAGAGGGGGCTGATAACAGCACCCACCTCGTAGGGTGGATGTGAGGATTCAGTTGTTTGTTTTTGGAGTCACTCACGTGATTGAGTGAGTTTTAGCTGCCTGGTTCTGGGGGACTCCCCAGTGAACAAGACAGATGGGGTACCTCCCCTTGAGGATTTCCTATCTGAAACTCGACAAGTAGAATTTGTCAGACGACTTCAGGGTAGTGAATCCCATTAAAGACATAAGGGAAGTGAGTTCCTCAGGGTAGGGGCCTATTTTAGATGGGGTGATATAAGATCATCTGTGAGGGGCGCCTGGGTGGCTCAGTTGGATGAGCGTCTGACTCTTGATTTCAGCTCAGGTCGTGATCCCAGGATCACGGGATCGAGCCCCATGTCAGGCTCTGTGCTGAGCGTGGAGGCTGCTTAAGATCCTTTCTTTCTTGGGGCGCCTGGGTGGCTCAGTCAGTTGAGCATCTGATTTTGGCTCGGGTCAGGATCTCACAGTTCTTGGGTTCAAGTCCTGGGTCAGGCTCTCTGCTGTCAGCACAGAACCTGCTTTGGATCCTCTGACCTCCCCTCTGCCCCTCCTGCACTCTCTCAAAATAAATTAAAAAAAAATTTTTTTTTAAAGATCCTCTCTTTCTTCCTCTCCCTCTGCTTCTTTCCCCTGCTCACACTCTCTTTCTCTCTCTAAAATAAAATTAAAAAGAAAAGGAAAGGAAAGGATAGTCTGTGAGAAGTGACTTTGAGACCTGAATGGTAAAGGAAAAGCCAGTTATGTAAAGATCTGGTGGGAGCACTTTCCAGAAAATGGGAATAGCAAAGGGAAAGGCCCTGAAGGGTGGGCCACCTTAATGCATCTGATAAACATGAAAGAGGCCAGTGTGGCTGTAGCAGCGCAAGTGAGAAGGAGACTGGGAGGGGATGAG